ATTATTATGCCTTTGTAGCCCAAGCCCTCCTCAGCTGGGATTGATTCTGACAGCCCAAAATATAGGGAAGAGAGACTACTTGGTGGATTTAAAATAAAATAAAATTGTCAGAGGATGGTTACTAGCAGTGGGCACAAACCGGGTCACGAGCCAAAAGTCAGCATGAACTTGGCCCAGTTCAGAGCCCCGAGACGACGTTTGGGGAAGGTGCTTCCCCCGACTTTTACTGAGCTTTTGCCTGGTTCAGTTCAGCTGTTCAAGCCATTTAAACCGAACAGTGGACAGGCACACCTGCCCCGCTGTTAGGTTTAAAAGGCTGGCAGCCATTTCAGCGATCTGTCTCACCACCACCACCCCGCTTCCAAGCAGGGGATAGGAAAACGGACCGCTGTCATGGCTGGCAGCCGTTTCAGCCTAACAGCAGATGGGCGCACCTGCCCTGCTGTTAGGTTTAAATGGCTGGCAGCCATTTCAGCGGTTTGTCTCGCTCCCCTGAAATGGACAGCTGAAATGGCTACACGTCATTTAAACCCAACAGCTGGGTGGATCTGCCTGTCAGCTGTTAGGTTTAAATGATCTCAAAGCGGGGGGGGGGGGAAGCAAAATGGATGCCAGCTATTTTAACCCTTACCGGGCGATCCCCTCACTTTCTCCCAGCCGCAGCAAGCCATGGCTGGGAGAAAGGGTGACCCAAACTAGCCAAGGGAAAGGGGGACCCAAACTAGCCAGTTCAGTTTGGGGTTTTTTGTTCAGTTTGAGGTTTGGTTTGGAACCACCCCAAAGCAGATTTTTTTGGTTCGTTTCCATCCCTAATGATTACCTTAGCCTTTTTTTAAAATCTGTATCCAGCTTATTGTGGGTTTACATTAGAACAGCATTTCACATAGTGCCTTGAAGTGCTCAAAGCAGCTCCATACTTTACCTCAGGAAGCCTTCTGGTGTCTCTGTAAAGGAGCTCAGTATTGTACTCTCCCATATTGAACGTGGGAGTTTGAGAGGGAAAGAGAGAGAGTGAGCAGCGGCCTGTCTAATCACACCCCACGAATTTGTGGCTGAGTGAAAGTTCGAACCAGAGACTTTCCTATTCACACTTTTAACGTCATATGCCACCAGGTCTCATTCAGACTGTGTAGATTTGTCAGTTTCTTGGCTTGCATGCTTGGGGGGGGGGTTTCCCAAATCTTGTTTGTTTCCTTATTTTAAACCAAAAGCATGGGCAAAAAAAAAAAAAAAAGACTGGAAACCATTATGATCAGGAGCAGCATTTCCACAGGGTGAAGGCACAAAAGGCTTGGAACGAGCCCCCTGCAAAGACAAGGAAAGCCTTCTGTGATTCCAGGGTGTGACTTTTGTTCTCCTCAGATGAAACACGTCCTTGTGTCAGAAAGCCATAGCAATTGGCTGGGTCCATCTGGCTGGCACTGCTTGCGTTTTTTGTTTTTTGCACTGAAATTTTATTTTCATCCAGATCCTGCTGTGTTTTTCAGTGCATGCGGTGGCTTTTTTCATGGATGTGCTTAAATTCACAGTTTGGAAGTTTGCGAACCATTATTGCGTCAATGACATATTTAAATGAATTTTTGAATACAGCTGTGCTGTGTGTCCCCCCAGTGAGTAAGAAATGCAGAGTGAGGTCAGGTAGGTAAGACCTTTCGTCAACCAACTGCTGTTGGTGTAAGCTTTCAAGCTACACAGTCCTCTGCATCAGATACATTGCCCATCTGCTTGTAGTGAGGAACAAGCCACCAAACTAATTTTTTTTCTCTCTCTCTTTATTCCCTCCAGGTTCTTGAAGCTACCAGGGTCAACCGCAGGAAGAGTGCCCTAGCCCTGCGCTGGGAAGCTGGCATTTATGCTAACCGGGAGGAAGAAAATGAGTAGTTTTCTTGGCAAATAATGCAAGCGCTTTTTTTATTACTATTATTATTATTATTGCAGAGACCAAGAAACCAAATAGAAGAACAAAGTTTTAATTTTTTTTTAAAGCTTCATCATTTTAATCTGATATTTATTGCAAACGCACCAGTCTCTGCAATCCATATTCAAACAGGAGCAATCCGTTTTTTATATGTGTGTGTGTACGCACACACATGTGTACATATATATGCACAAACACACAGGACAGTGATATAAAGAAAAGCACCCTCTATCCCTGCCCCCCCCACACACACACACACAAAAACCCGAGGCAGCCGGCTGTAACTTTGGAGCCAGTGTTATGGCCCTGATAAAAAATAGCAGGAATCAACAGCCCATTTCAGAGCGGACAGAATGAGCACATTATTGCTTCCTTTAACTATCTTCACAGCTTTGCATTGGGAATGGAAAGATTTTGGCTTATATAGGATCTTAACACAAGATGGCACCGCATGAGGAAAAAAAACAAATAATTCAAGCTTTATTTGGTTCCAACTGTGGCTCTTCATTCCATACGTGGCTTTAAAAAGAGGGCTATTACTCTACATCCTAGATAGCCATAATAAAGTCAAGATAATTTTGTTTTGATGTTGTTAACCTATAAGGGCAATGGTTGTGTGTTTTTTTAAAATCCTTACTTTAAATTAATTGACTTTTTAAAAAAAGAAAAGAAGAGGCGGCTGTCGATTTTCAAATGTGAATGTACAATCCATATATTAGCCATAAAATACAGTGTGATGGTTTTTTGCTGTTATTTTGCAAGGGTGCTTATTGGGGGGAAGATTGGGCAGGCGAAGCTTTCTTTTACGTTATCATAGGTGGTTTTAGTTGCAGATTTACCCACACATTATTTCATTAATTAATATGCTTAATACAGTTCCCTTTTAATAACAAAGACCAGTCCCTGGATAGCCTAAAAGAAAGAGACGGAGAGAAATGCCAAAGCAGAACGTCATAGTTTTAGCAACCTGTGTGCTTGTGGTTATCAGATTGGTCTCTTGTTTCTCAGGACATATTTGCATTATCATCTATCTGTATTTAATGGACAGTGGGGGCTGCGATAATGTGGGAAGGGACGCGCAATGGAATCTATAAAGAGCAGTAAAGCTGAGTCAGAAAGATAAGGGGGAGAATGGGAAAAGTTTAAATATTTTTTACTGAGGCAAATTATTGACCTTCAAGTCAGATTATGTTGCAGAGAAAGGTATGAAAGAAAAATAGTTATATCTTTAAGCTATATTTATGCTACATAAAAAGGTCTTGGTATTAGAGCGTGAGGGGGATGTTTTAACAGAAAATGAAAACGTTGAGAGATGGTAGTGGACTAAGAGGGGTAAGAGACAAGCCAAAGGATTATTTTTGCTGTTCAACCAGTGTTTTCAGAGCTAGAAGAAAACCTGTAGACCCTTTAGATAGAATATAGGCTGGGAATCCATGACAAAGAATTATCGGCGCGTATTTGCTTGTGTGCATGTGAAGCTGCATTTCTAGTAGGATGATGGAAGGATATGGGTGTACAGATTATTTTGTCCAAAGCTGTTCGCCAGCTCTAAGGGTATAAACATTTCTTCTTCTTTTTTCCTCTTTTTTTTTTTAAAGAAAAGGAATATTAAAAGGCACTAAACTGATGCAGTATTTGTAATAACAGAGCTGAACAGAAATGGTATTTGCATGAGTTAACCTTTCAAAAGTATCAAGCAGTTTTGTAATCTGACATTTAGTAGGAAAAGTGATATTTATTCTTCCGCTTTGTATTTTGGCATGGTAGTAAAGTCTACCTACTGGTTTAGTCGTTTATCTGTCTGGGCAATGCACTAGAATATTTAAAGATCAACAGCCATAATTTTTGGACCAGAATCTGTCACACTTTAAACAACTGCAAAAACGGATACATATATTTTTTAAAAAATACCTAAAACATTACTTTTGACTGCTTTTTTTTTTTTTTAAGGGAAGCGAAAACTAGAGACCCTCTCGAAATTTCTCTTTTTGTGTTACATATTATAAGCAGGAATCTTGTGTTCTGGTATTTTAATTAGACAAATAAGGGACTTGCAACCTGGAAAAAGATCTTAGGTCCTGGTCACACATGCTGGAAGATGCGGGGAGGAAGCGAGACTATTTGTGCCGCGGTAATTTGACCCGCCGCTGCGCGATCCGACGCAACGGCGGGGGAAGGGGGGGTTATTTCTTGCCGGCTTCCGGTACGTTTCATCCAGGAACCAGTGACATGATCGGAGCACGCCCGTCGCAACCTTGTTTGATAGTGGACTTTCTGTGGTTGTTTTTTACTCCGCTTCTTTGACTGACTGCTATGGGTTGCCAATGGGTGCAGGACGCTGGCCAGATGTGTCCGTTTGATCGCGCCAGTAAAATCCGGCCGGCACTTCTGAGTATCCCACGGCAAATTCTGCGTGTGATCGGGGCCTTATTTTCCTCATAGTAAATACCAACATTCAATATGAATGCAGCAGCCTTGGAGAGGATTCTCTCCGTTGTACACAAAGTACAGTGGAAATGTTTGGACATGAGGAAGCCATCTGCATGGACTGGCTTGTAGCTAACATGGGGCCCACGGGGCCTGGCCCCCTAGTGTTTCTTCTGGGCCCCCTCCCTCTCGGGCTGCCCCCAAAATTCTCCAACTTATCACCTGCATTGTACTTTCATTTAATTGGCTGGCGGACTCCCTGAGGCCCCCTCCCCCCAAATCCCCTTGCTACGGGGCTGTGCATGGATAACATGTATATGGAGCTTCTGTTGATAAGCAAGTAGACAGAACTGTGCATTCAAAGGGTGCTGGCAACAGGAAGGTCCCATTTGCATGTGGGACTTTCTTGCTGATGTTCTCCCAGGACTGTAGCCTAGGCACAGTGGATCTACTACACCTTTGCAGACTTTGTAATTAGGGGAAAAAATCCAAACTATTATGACTAGAATCTATTTTACATATAAGAGCTTTATATTTGTGGTTTGCACACTCTTCTGGTTGAAATTTTTTTTTGTAAGAACAAAGAGTTACAATCCAGCCAAAAAGTCTTGACCTATTCATTGTTGACCTATTGATTTCAATAGAAGCACGTGTTAAATCTTGCCTATGAAATCAATGTGATTGAGAAGTACTTAATTTTTTTTGGATTGGATTGTATACTGAGTTTTTTCAGGAGCTGACATACCGCACAGGAACGAATAACGACTACTTCATGAGAGGAAGAAAAAAACATATCTAGAGAGAAAGGTGGGTGAGGACAACAGGGAAAACTGTTGAACTGTTCACACACAGTGAAGAACTTCTGTCACTAGCTCGTGAAGGCCCACCCACACTATGTCTTCTGAGCCTTTAGCCGAAATTGCCTGTACAATCAAGATTTTTGCCCTCTGGGGGTAGTTTTCTTCAAAGCAAGGTGAAAATTCTCAGGATTATGACGAAGCAGCTGGATTGTGTGCTGTGCACGGACAATATTCTCTGAAAGATCTTAAGTATGAGGAAGGCAGTTCCTTTTTATACTACATGTTAACTCTTATTGGGAAATGGTGGTTTTATAATGGGGGAAATAAAATCAACAACTAGAGATATGCATGGAATTTGATGTTTTTCCCCCCCTGTTGACTAGGTTGTAATCAGCGCGACACAAAGAAGGCATTCGCTGTTTCTAAAAATGAAAATAAAAAGACACCAAAACCACCTTTTGTTTGTCTAATCATCTCATTCTTTGTTACCAATGCTTCCCCCCCCCTCCCACCAGTAGCAAAAATGAGATCAGTCTCTGGCATCTTGGGATGACTTTCCTAGGTGCAGTGAGAGGCTTAATTCATCGTGCTTTTCCCCTCTTAAAATAGATGTGTGAATGGCTGTCAATGGACAGTTTCTCTTTCAGGAATTATGGGATCTTGACTACCGTCTTCAGCAATACTTGGCTTAGTGCTTTGATAGGTTAGCGGTTGACCTCCATCTGCCCATTATCATGGCTTAGGTGTTTATAAATAAATACATGCCAGTGATTGCACATTCTCACAGAATTTGCTTTTTTTTTCTCCACACATACAAAGAGTTAAGAATATTTCTTGCAGACAATACTGATTGAATTAAATTGTGCATTGTCATAGTTAAGCATTATGATTTGTGACTGTATCCAGGGGTTTTGGTTCTTCTCGGGTTTGGGTGTGTTTTTTTAAATTGCAGAGCAGAACTGTGAAACTGTTTCTTGTTTTAACACTGCCATTTTGCTCCCCGTCCCAAAGAATCCATGGAGAAAACCCGCAACAATAATTTCCTCTGTCTCTATAAATTACCAACCAAATGCAGTCATAAAATCTATGGCTTACTGTATGTGTTAACCACTTCAATGTTGTACCATGCTTCTGTTTTATAGTGACTGTGAGACATACAATACAAGTATATAATTATTTTCTCATTAAAAGTTAAACTTGTCTTGTGTTTCTTATCTAAAAACAGGGCGTGCGGATGCCCTGGTTCCAGATCACTAGGGAAA